CTTTCATTATATTGTTTTCTGCAGTAACAACGCAATGGGCATATGGTCCATAATCAAAGGAAAGGGTACTCAGTTCAGGGGTCCTCCAGCTGTTGGACAGGTTGGTTTGTTTGGTCTTTTGAATTTCAAGGATTTTGTATGTCTCCATTATGTCGTGTAGCAGACTCTAATCAGATCTATTACTTTCAACTCTTATTTTGTTCCCTTTTTGACATAGGCTCTTATTACGAATCTCCCTACCTCTGAGATTGTGGAATCATGCTCTGTAGCTGGACCTGGATTTATTAATGTTGTACTATCAGCTAAGTGGATGGCCAAGGTGCAGTCCTCTTGTATTACTCACTTGTATATTCATTTTCTAATCCTCATAAATAATAGCATAACTGTTTTCTGATATATTCGCAGAGTATTGAAAATATGCTTAACAATGGAATTGACACATGGGCGCCTACTCTTTTGGTTAAGAGAGCTGTAGTTGATTTTTCCTCTCCTAACATTGCAAAAGAAATGCATGTTGGTCATCTAAGATCAACTATCATCGGCGACACACTAGCTCGCATGCTTGAGTACTCAAAGGTTGAAGTTCTACGTAGAAACCATGTTGGTGACTGGGGAACACAGGTAGCTACTTTTCTGCTCTTCAAATGATTTATTAACCTTAGAACTGAGTGTTTTATTGTTGTATATAAGTATTCATCAAAAAAATAAAAGCCGTTTTTATTCTGCAGTTTGGCATGCTAATTGAGTACCTCTTTGAGAAATTTCCTGATACAGATAGCGTGACTGAGTCAGCAATTGGAGATCTTCAGGTCAGATCCTTACTTCATATGGCATTTCATGCTTTTCAATTCTTCTTATGTGCCAATATTGGCGCACTGTGCTTTATGTGAAGAACCGAAGCAATTTAGTTTCTAACTTGAGATGTCATCTTATAGACGTTTTACAAGGCATCAAAAAGTAAATTTGATTTGGATTCAGACTTTAAGGAAAAAGCACAGCAGGCTGTGGTCCGTCTACAGGTAAATAACAATTTTCTTAACCTGAATCACTGGTGCATTCTTCTGTTTGGCAGTGTCTCAATAGGCAGCCGCCTTTAGTTGCAAGATCTAAATAACTCACTTGTCTATTTTTTTTCATTTCTTTGGTGCAGGGTGGAGATCCTATTTACCGCAAGGCTTGGGCCAAGATTTGTGAAATCAGCCGAACCGAGTTCGCCATGGTTTATCAACGCCTTCGAGTTGAGCTTGAAGAAAAGGTAAAGGAATAGCTTGACCTTTACTCATTATTTGAAACAGAATGGAAAAGAGATACATATATGGTAAATGAAATTACATTGATTCATGACAGGGTGAAAGCTTTTACAACCCTTATATCGCTAACGTAATTGAGGAACTAAATAGCAAGGGGTTGGTGGAAGAAAGTGAAGGTGCTCGTGTGATTTTCATCGAAGGCTTTAGCATCCCACTCATAGTTGTAAAGAGTGATGGTGGTTTTAACTATGCATCAACAGACCTGGCCGCTCTATGGTGAGTTATCTATCTCTCAGTTAATTACTAATAAAAATCCGGATTTAAGTAGCAATCTTGGGAACATACATCTCACATATAATATATATTATGACTTTTGGTGTCTGTATTTGCTGAAGAGTGTGACTTTGATGTGAACTTGCATATATTTCAATGAATTTTCTGCTGATACTAAAATCTGCCTGGCCCAGGTATCGGCTTAATGTAGAGAAAGCTGAGTGGATTATATACGTGACGGATGTTGGCCAGCAGCAGCACTTTAATATGTTCTTCAAAGTAGGTTTGATGAATATTTTATTGTTTTTGACGTCTTGTGAAATGTTATGTCTGTGATTGAATCTGTCAGTTGTAACTGTTGTATACTGACTCTGATTCAGGCTGCCAGAAAAGCAGGTTGGCTTCCAGACAATGATAAATCGTACCCTAAAGTTAACCATGTTGGTTTTGGTCTCGTCCTTGGGGATGATGGCAAGCGATTTAGAACTCGGTCTACAGAAGTAGTCCGCCTAGTTGATTTGCTCGATGAGGCCAAGACTCGCAGTAAAACTGTCCTTATCGAGCGCGGTATCTGACTCTATACTTTTTGAATTGCTGAACTATTCTCTTGTTCAGTTATTATGTGGTGTTATTAATCCTTTATATGTTGTTTCTCTGTTTAGGTAAGGACAAAGAATGGACTCCTGAGGAGCTGGACCAAACAGCCGAGGCAGTTGGATATGGTGCGGTGAAGTAAGTAGTATCTCTATTATTGGTTTGGTGATTTTTGTAGTCAAGACAGCACAAATATGATGAATGTTCTGCCAGTTGTTTTGATAGTGGGCATATTAATATTTTCATGCTACTGCTAAACTTGCGGTTTTGTTTGATTTTCTTTCAAGGTATGCTGACCTGAAGAATAACAGATTGACAAATTATACTTTTAGCTTCGAGCAAATGCTTAATGACAAGGTACTCGAATTTGCCACCTAGTTTACATATTTGCATTATGCAGTCACCTACACATCCTTATTGTTCACATGTCATGAGCAGGGAAATACAGCTGTTTACCTTCTTTACGCCCATGCTCGGATCTGTTCAATCATCAGAAAGTCTGGCAAAGACATAGATGAGCTGAAAAAGGTATTTTAGCCACATGATCACAAATTACTTAATTTGATTCATTGTTCCTCTTTTAGTTGGCTGCAACTGATCTTTCCTATTGTCTCTATCGATGATATCCAAGGAAATGCTAGATTAAAAGTCTATATGGTTTGAAAGCTTCAACAACTCTATGAAGTCCTTTTAACTGTTAACTCCATTCCAATGTCTATAGTGAGCATTTAGATCTAGGAAGTCCCAACATTCATTTTTGTGCACACCCTGAGCCTGTATGGGGTTTTCTTGTCTTATTTTTCCTTGGGTTTGTTTTATTTATAATAGATCCTTAGACAGCTACGAGGACTGTGTTATAAGTTCTTACCATACACAGAACGATAACGAGTAATTCTTATGTCTCAACATTTGCTTCATTGCAGACAGCAAAGCTAGCATTGGATCATGAGGATGAGCGAAAACTGGGGCTTCACTTGCTTCGATTCGCTGAGGTAACACATGTTCATTAGATACAACTTACATGCTCAACTTGTTTTTCTTGGTAAAAAGATGGACAATTACACAACCCATGTGCGAACGATTTGCAGACGGTTGAGGAAGCTTGCACCAACTTGTTGCCGAGTGTGCTGTGCGAGTACCTCTACAATTTATCGGAACACTACACGAGTTTCTACTCCAATTGTCAGGTGTGCATTCCCAACATTCTTCGTTGTATCTAATATTGTGATATCGGACTGCGTAGCTGCATAATCAACCACCATTATACTGATCTCACTTGAAAACATGAATTTTTACAGGTTAATGGTTCAGCAGAGGAGGCAAGCCGTCTCCTACTTTGTGAAGCAACGGCCATAGTCATGCGGAAATGTTTCCACCTTCTGGGTATCACCCCTGTTTACAAGATCTGATGCATCGCATCAAATGGCAATTAAATGACCCAACATTCAGAAGGGTGTTTTATCGGGTGGACAATTTTTGTGCAGAATCAGGGAAAAAGGCGTTGTGTAACCCTGAATTCTCTCTTGTTCTCATTTAGTTCGGGCAACCTTTTATATACAAACGAATACAATGTTAAAATTGTCATTAAACTGATTATGGTGATTCATGAAAGGGTTTCACGGTTTAATCTATCTAGAATTGGAATGGCTTGAGGAAGGTCTTGTGGCTTTCATGGAAATTGTGGCCTTTTGGCTATACAAATATACCCTTTTGCGACCCCGAGAGCTCCTGCATGACTTGATTCTCGACCCTCTCTTCACAAGGACCTCGAGGCATGTCACATTCGCTAGAGATGCGAATGACTGAGATTTGCCTTTATAAAAATTTGAAAGTCCTTCCTTGACATGGCTGCGGAGAGACACAATAATGTTTAATGACAAAACAACCTGTTATCAATACAGTGAGATGTATCCTCTACATATTTTTGGATCAATTCGAGAAGTATCCTCTATATATTCAGAAAGTTAAAAGCTTTGGGGTAATAAGAGGTTACATGATAGGAAGCTGAGAGATGAGGTCTGATAGATTGTCCAAAGGTCCATTTGAAGACGAAGAAGGAGCATCATCCTCTGTTGAACACATGGACAGAGAAGAGTATTTCACCGAGGAGGATCCGGAAAGTGAACCTTCAACAACATCTTTTTCTTTTCTTGTCGAAGTCAGATCACCATCGTGAATGCTCATCATTTTTGTTTTTGTTTTGGTTTTGTGATCTTTGCCTTAAATAAGGTTTCTTGAACAACAAGAACAGAACAGAGAGTTCTTGTCAAGATGTTTGTGTTCTGTTAATTATATTGACTATAACAGAAAGATAAGGCTTTATACACAACACATAAGTATACACATACAAAATGATACACATATATATAACGAAAAGATACGGCTTAGTAAGAGAAAAGATGATAACGAATAACGATAATGAGTAGGTATTACTTACGTGCAAGCCGTGGATAACGTTGTCCCTTCTCATCCTTTTTCTTAAATAGCAACAAAAATAGATGTTTTGCGACTATACAGTATGAGTAAGCCAGAATTAATAACCGACTATACGGTATGAGTAAACCAAACTCTATATCCTCTAATAGAAACTTATAAAGAACTTTTAGAAAACTCTAAAAGTTTTTGGAAATGTATAAACGTTTTCAAAATTTCCGCAAGTTTTTTTAAACTTTGGAAAATTGTTGTTTAGAAAATATATTGTATTTTGTACAATTTGCTCACGGAGTTCCTCTTGATCAATGTTCATCTAGATAAACTACCTATGTACATGTGAAGTCATAATTAAAAATGGTTACAAAAAGCCAAATCTTCTTGCTTGAAGGAAGATTTCCTCTTGAGTCTTGATCAGTGTTCATCTAGATAACCTTTGATTGCTTTTCATCTGAAAACATAGAAAATAAATAGTGAAATATCGAAGATCAGTAGAGTGTTCCATTTCACCACCACCACTCATAAGCAAACTCAGAAGCATTTAGCATCCATAAATGGGCTTTCGTTAAAGATCCAAGGCCCACTCGCAGAATTATCAATATGCTTTTTTTTTGTTAAGTCCTGGTGGAAAAATCTTATTATATAAAGGAAGATTCACGCGATGAAAGCATGATACGTATGTAAAATTATAACCCATCATATCGCGACATGTATCTACTATTAACCAGATGATGATACATGTTCAAACTTAAAATTATTTAAAAAACAAAATAGAAAACAGACAAAATAATTGTTAAGCAACTAACCAAATAGTAAAAAGTAAATTTTTTTTATATTTCAAACTAATTAGAAAAAAGAAAATTTCTAATAGTCCAAACTAATTAGATAAAAATTCTAATAGTTCAAACTAATTATAAAAAATAAGTAAATAAAGAAGATATAGAGAGTATAAATCGTAAAAAAAAACAAAGTAAAGAGAAATAAAAATAAAAATTAATAGATATTATAGTAATTGAAAAAAATATGAATGATAAAATAAAATATATTATAGTAATTGAAAAAAAAATAAAAATAAAAATATGAATGATAAAATAAAAGATATTATAGTAATTGAAAAAAAATAGAATGAATATGGAAATCTCAATTTAAAAGTTTAAGATACGC